AAAACTGTGGTGTTACTTGTCTGTGAAAAGGGACAGTACTCATTTTGGTTGTGCAGTGGCTGGTGTGATACTTGTGTGTGATGGACTGGTGTGTAACACTTTGCTTCTGAAATGAGAGACAAATCTGAGGATGCTCTTGAACACAGTTGCAGAGAAAGCACAAATATCAAAGTGTAATGGGAACCCAGGTTTCCTGATGGTAACTTGTTGTGCTAACAGCAGATTCATTTGTTTCCTAATTAATCAGAAGGAGTGTTCTTTTTATTTCAGCCATCTGGTGGAGAGCATGTTGTTTAGCTTCTTGCTACTGCAAATTGGAGCTACACAGGAAAAAGGATGTTTCAACTTCTGTTTTTGGCTTGTTTTTCAAGGTTGAGTCAGTATAGAGCACGTTAAAACATACTGTAATCAGTTGCAAAGTTCATCTCTCAAGGACTGCAAAAATTTAACTAAAATTGTCCTTCCTGAAAAGACAGGGTGGTGATATTGATGATTAATTGCTTTTATTTCTTGTTTTATTCCAGTTAATCATTGTTCAGACAAAAGCAAAATTTCCTTGGTGAACTGGAGAACTATTCTAGGATACCCAATTTGCTACCACTCCATAGAGAACATTCAATGTCGCTTTTACATTTCTTCTTTGGATTAATGTCAAAAGCATATTGCCTGTCAAACAATTTGTCATTGAGTGTGCCATTAGCTTGCTAACTCCTCGCAAGGCTTTTAAAACATTGCATTCTTTTCCCTCCAGAAGTCCCCTTAGCGCAGCCTTTCTTTGGAAGCTATATTGTTCTTGTGGAATATTTTCTGAGGAGCAGTCTGTCCCTATGCGATGTTTACTGTATTTTTGCCTTGCAGCCAGCAGATTTTAGTACAAACTTGCCTGGGGGTGGCCTTGTCCTATTTTCCTCTTAGATGGTTCTGGCATTTATAGAGCTTGGGAGATCGTGCTTCTGAATTTTCCAGTCTGAAGAGCTCGAGCCAAAACAGCAGGGGAGATAGCAAACCTGTACGTTGTTTGGCTTATGGCAGCTGGGCCTGTTTTTCCTTTGACCTAAAGCAATGGCAGCTTTTCTTGGGTTTTGTGTGGAGGAGGGGGGAGGTGAGGAAGAGGAAAACTACGTGAGGAAAACTGCTTTATCTCTGTGATTGGAAAAAGCAAGGCTTATCTCTGCCTCAACAATCCCTCTTTTTGTCCCCCTAGCACAAGTAACTCCAAGTTGCTTTCACATGGCACGTGGAGATTGTTTTTGTTCAAGTTACTTTATGAGTATTGATTATTCTTAAGAAAAGAGAATGTGTATTGTTTTAATATTGCATTAACATTTCTGAAAAACAAACTTTTTTATGTTGAGGTACCATAGCCCTTGCAGAATGGACTTTATGTTAGAGAACTGGCTGCTTGGAAGGTTTTAGAGACATTTCATATCTTTCCATCAACCTCTATTTTCTCCCTTACATCATGGTCACTGAAATAAAATAGTCTTGTCAAGTAGGGACCAGTCTCCATTGGGGAGCAAATTGTGATGAATGATTGTGGGAATATATGAAATACCCTGCAGATGTGTGGCTCAGAGGACATAACTACTTCTTGGGTTTGGCCTTGTGCTTGAAGAGCCCTTCTTGTCTTTAAACACTGTCTCTGTAGTCATACACTCGAAATGAGGTTTCCTGTGGAAATAAATTTCACTGTTGCTGCCTTTGAGGTGTCACAGTCTTGTATTTATTAGCAGATGTTTCAGTTAAGTTTTGCATTTATGTAACAGAAACATTTAGTTGTGCCACAGAGTGAATTTATTTCTAGAAGAATGGGTTTGCATGTGATTGTTGGAATCCTGAACTTTTGAATTCCAGTAGATTTGAGAGTTCCCTAAAAAGTTTGTGAGAACAGCAGAGAGTTGAGGCTGAGTACATACTTGAAGTGGAACACAAAAGAAAACAGCCTGTGTGTGTGAAGAGTTTCCAAGGAACTCCTAGTGATTAAATCAAATTAAAAAGCATCATATTTCCAAAGAGTGATAAGATTCCTGTTTGGATGTCTGCTGGTGTGGGACAAATGGATGATAGATCCTGAGCCTCCCCAAGCCGAAAATAAAGGGAAAGAAAAATTTTAATCTTTGTTGACATTTCAATGTTTTCTCCCTTTATGTTGCTCCATAGTTTTTCCTTACTGATATACCTGAATCTCCACAATGCTTGTTGAGAAGCTCCAGAGAAACTCTTGTTTCTGCTGTAGTTCTGGCAAGAGATGACAGTACCGAAGCTGTATGGCTGCTCCTTCTGTGAGGAAGCTGTTGACCAGCTTCATAGCACAAATTTTTTTCTAGAATAAGAATTTTCTTAATTGGCAGCTTTGATGAATTTCCCTCCTCCCCTCGTTCCCATTTGCAGCCCTCTAAGTTGGTCAGTCTTATGTGCAAATCATGTCTCATCCTGAAGGGAAGATTACTTGGACCTTCACGTGGATGCAAGAAGCAAGGAGGACATCAGGGCAGGTGCATGTTACCCTAAAGGTTTCTTGCTGGAATAAGAAGAGTTAGCAGAAAGTTGGTGCTGTAGAACCAGCCTCTTCAGTCTCTCTTGGCTCCACAGTGTGAATGCCTCAGGCTGTCAGAGTGGGCCAGGAAGGAGCTGAGCCTTTCAAAAAATATGCTGGCTTCAATATCATTAGGTGTGTTACGTAGGCAAGCAGTCCAGATTTGCCTAGCTGGTCTATGTTTATTTTCCTCTCTTCTTTCCATTCAGCAAATCCATGTTGCAGTCGGAGGCTTTCTTTCCTTGGTAGTCTAATTTGTTACCAGCATCCTCACCTTTGTAAGTTTCACTCTTGGTGCATAAGGAGACAGTTTAAATTAGATACATATTTAAAAAAAAAATCCATTCTGAGGTGATAATTTACCTCATTTTCCTTTAATAATAACAACCTTTTTTCAGTAGTGGTTTTCTTTGTTTAACATAACTTTTTCTGCTTTTTGATGTGTTTTGTTCTACAAATCTCAGTGGGCTGTAGTGAATCCTTGTTTCACGTCTTACCTCTTTTTATATGATTGTCCAAATTCTGAAGGCAAAACACAAAGGTCATTGTTCTCTCTTGGACTTTAGTACTGCTCCTCATCTCACTTTTGTCACTAAATGTAATAATTCCTATAATTTGTCTTCTCATATTTAATATTTCTCCTGTTGCCCTTAGGAGTAGATTTCCTTTCAATGTTAATCTTACTCAGGGAGGCTGTAATCATGACTTACTAATTTCTTTCTTCTTTTAATGTTCTCAAGAATGTCTTCCTTAACATTAGGTAGCAGATCCGGTGGATTTTTTGCTGGTATTAATTGCTGTGTAAGGAAGTGCCCTTGAAAGTCAGTTATGTAAATGAGCAGCCTTGAGCTGGCCATAAGAATGATGTTGGCTTGAGTTTTAATTTAATAATTGAGGAATTGGAACATAAAATGGTTCTTTAAATCTAAAATAGGATAGAGTCATATTCTTTATTAGACAAATTCTAATTGCATGGACTGTATCAGCAGTTTAACATGTAGTTTCAGTGATCACTTTGCGTGCAGGTGAGCACTTTAGATGGTCATTGTTGGATGGTTACTATTAGGAAAAATTCTTCTCTTCAGTTGCCTTAGGTATTTTTAGTTGAGTATTCTGAAAGAAATTACTGGTTTGTTGTGGCTTTAAAACAACAAACTCAGTCTTTCTTGAAATATATTCTTAACATCTGCTTTTTTTTTTTTTCCCTTTATTAAGTTAGTGATCATAAAAGTCGCTGTAAAAGTTTCTTGTATTTTTCCTGGAGATGTGGCATACTTGAATCCCTTGGCTTATTAAAAAGTCCCTGAGTTCTGGACAGTGGAGGGCAGGTACCTCATGTCTGTTTGAGTAAAGGTTATTATTTATTGTTATGCATAATATATGCAAAAACCAGTGGATGTGAAGTTATTTGCAAATACAGGCTTGGCAAACCTCCTCTGGAATTCAGAGAGGGTTTTCCAGCTCGACTTAGTCATTTTTTCCCAAATGTCTTGGCATAACTGATCACTCAGGAGTGACATATGGTAGAAACATGCTCTAAGGGACAAGTCTCCCGGATGGCGCACAGCACCACACAAGATAGACAGATGGTGGCTTATTCAACCTTGGAAAAAGTTTAATCCTACATATTGGCACGTCGGCCTGGGTACCGAGAGAGAGGCACACACATGCCTGTGAAATCTGAGGCAAAGCTTTTGTGAGTTTGCTTGCTGTCACTGAAGGAACTAGAAAGACTGAGCTGATACTATGCCCAAGGAGTATCTGCAAAATTACGGGTTCAATGTGCTCTCCAGGAAAAGTGATGTTCCTTAGAAAAGTGGAAACTCCAGAGCCAGCAGGACAATGCAGAGAATAAGATTTGGTGAACTTCTCACAGCTGTTTCCAAACATGCTTATTCAGCAAAGCTGCTGAGTACTTAACTTATTCACCAATAGTTGATTAATTGAAGTGTCTAGTAGGAGAAAAGGCTATTTTATGTTTTTCATAGTTTTAGTTCTGTTTCAAGAGTTGCTACTGGCTTTGTGAAGTATATTGGTGCTTCACATCAGAGAAACTGTAGCCTTTCTCTTCCATAGGTTCTAACAAAAAGTCGTAAATTCCCTGATGGTAATTATAAATTTATAGCAGAATATGCAAAGAATTGCAAGTTCTTTTTATTTTATTTTTTTTAATTTTTATTTCTATTTATTTATTTATTTTTAATAAGGAGAGGAAATCACACCTTTCACTCTAATATCTTCATGTTTAAGATAGTGAAGAGAGAGAGACAGAATATTTGACATGGAAAAATAAATCTGCTTTGAATTCTTTCTGGAAACCAAGTAGTGATTGTTTGATTGATTGATTGGTTGAACTTCTGGAGTCAGGGCCATTTTCTGTGAGGATTTTGAAAATACTGACTCATTGAAAATATAAAGGATTGCCTGCCAAATTTTTTTCCTGCCACTTTGTTTTTCTTGTAGATCACACTCAATATTCACAACTAGAAGGAAAAGCAAGACTCTCCTGACTCTGCGGACTTCAAGGATATCATTATGTTGTATTGGATGAGTTTAAACTAGACAAGACTTCTTTCTTAAACACTTCGAGAAAGGTAAATGTAATTCAACAAACTAATCTTTTTCCAGTAGAGGAATAGTTAGGTTAAATTAATCCCATTCTAGTAACATTTCAACCATACTACACTGCAGAATCATCATCTTTGGGATACTTTGTATTGATATATATACCCATATTAAAAAAAAAATTAAAAAGTAATATATATGTATACACCCATATATATATATATATATATATATATAACTATACCTTCCTAGTAATTTTTAGATGTTAAAAGATTTTCATTTGTCAGCCCTTGTATATTTTCAGGAAATGTACCAGTTTCAAGCAATTGTCTTATATGAAAGATAGAAGAGGAAAGACAAGGGTGATGTCCACAGTAGCCAGCCTATTGGTAATTGTATGGATGGGGAAGACCCAGTTAATGTTTCTATTTTGCCTAATGAGTAAAATTACTTGAAAATGAGATCCTAGCTAGTGAGCTATAAAGTCAAATGACTCAAGCAGTACTGATTGACACATACATTTAAAATATGGTGTGGTTTGGGAGACCCAGAGGGAGCTGCAAAGAGAGAGGCTAATTAAATAACCTGTTGTTTAGGATATGCACTGAAAAAGTAAGAGATGTCAAATCCTTACATTCAGCTGAGGGTGCTCTTGTGTAATATAAGTATTTCCTTACTTTTGGCCTAGTATAAGCAGAGATTTACTCTTCCTCTGGATGTGAGTACCCATCATGTATTTTTCTGTCACCCTTTTCTTTCTTTTGCTGCGTGTTGTTGTGAGAAATGCTGACCATAGGTAGCCAAGCCTGAGAGCGTACAGAAATTGTTGCAGAACTACTTTTTATTTTTATTTTTATCTATTTTTATTGTTATTTTTTTTTCTATTTACTATTCTTTTTTTTAGTAATTTTTCTATTACTACAGGACTTAGTAAATAAAAATTTTAATAAGTCTATTTTGTGCCCAAGTGCAGTCAGAAAAATGTGACAGACGTTAGTGTACTCTCTGTCTAGACCCTGCAAGAGTTTCTCATACACTTCACAGAAGCAGTGAGTATTCTTGTGGCCCTCTGTGACACAGTCCTGCCTCAGTGTCAGGAAGCATGCCTGTGGGCCTTACAAACATCATGTATTTGTGAGAGACAGAGCTCCAGTCTGATGAGATGATTAAAATTCTGCAGATCCACAGCTGATACCTTTTTGACCCAGATCTGAAGTTCAGACTTGGAAATACTTCAGTCCCTTGAAATTTCAGGTCATGCTTCATAGAATTGCTGTTTTCATAATTTATAGGCTATGTGTGGTGGTATCATTGTTGAGTCGCTGAGCATCGGTGTGTGTGTGAATCAGCCATCTGCTGTCAGGGCTGAGTCTTGTATCTCCCTGGCCAGTGACAGGGGAGGTCATTACACCATGACGAGACTCTGTCAGATGGGAATGGTTCAAGGTAACAACGTGGCTGTGTCCAAACAAGTCACTTCTGCTTACTGGTAGTAATGACATTTAGAGGACTGAGACGGAGGATGGGGCGTTTTCATAGAGGAATGGAGACTTTGTGAAGACAGAGATGTGAAGGGTTTGCAAGTTTAAGAGGAACAAAGGCTGCCTTTTGTAGCAGGGTTATGAGTTATTTATGGAACCAGATGAGGAATAGAAAAACTGTCTGCACAGAAGAAAAGCAGACTTCAAGATCTGGAAGAGAAGCTGCATTGAGTTATTAGGCCACTGACCTAAGAGCGGTAAAGAAAGAGATACAAAATGCACGTGGTCTCATTTTATTTTGTCTAGACTTGCATACCTTGTACACTTCCCAAGTAGAGAGTGATTCGGTATTTTGGAACTCGTACAAAGCTTCTGCATGTTTTGCTTCAACCAGTGAATGTCCTGGAAACCCAGCATACCCTCAAGGTTAGATCCTTGTGTTAAACTTGCTGTAAAATTTGGGCAGGATGTGGGTTAGCACTAATGATGAGATCCTGTGCCATCTTGCTCTGCCAGGTCCTGTTTCTTTGGAGATGCAGTAATCAATACCAAGGAAAAGTAACGCAGAAACTAAGAAAATTATTTAGCAGGAAATAACTGATTCAAACCATTGGAGACCAAAGATGGTTGGGAAGAGCCAGACACAACTGTATATGGAGCAGTGGGGATTTTACCATACTAGTTTCTGCAAATTGCTGCCAGGCTATTGAGAGCTGAAGTTAAGGTTGAGCTGAAACATTAAAGATTAGGACTAAGACATCTTGCTGCACATCTCATGGAATACATTTATGCTTTATTAGCTGCAGCTAATTAAAAAATGTACTCTCAACAGGTGTAGCCAAACAGGAGGAAAGAACAATTTAAAAATCCTCATCTGTGCGTTAATCCAGTGGTAAGAAAATGTGAAGCTGTAATTGTCTTCTATACTTCCCTCCTCCTTGTTGGGAGAATTTTTTTTTAGGTATTAATTTCTAATTTAGTACTTAGTCTTCTTTCTTTTTCCTCCCCCTCCAAAAATCTCCTCAGACCCTGATGGTTTAAAAATGATACCATGCAAAATTGATGTAACTCTGTGTAGGTTGTGATGTGCCTTGGAGGTGTGATGTACCTGTCTTAAAATCTTAAAAGCAGGTAAAGCTGGAAATGGCTGCATTCACTTTTATGCTGTCTATCCCCCTTTGTTCTCTCTCCCTCCCCCTTCTGCTTGTGCTCACTTGCTCTCTCTTTAGTATAACACAGTTGAACAGCAGTGAAGTGTAAAATGTGCTTTTGCCAAGGTCAGTTTCTTGTGATTACTCGCCTGTGGCAACTTATGCCAGTTGCAACAGACTGAGTCTCAGCAGTCCACAAAGTCACACTGGTGCTTATGCAGAGGACACCCAGTGTAGGTTAGAGTAACCGTAGTCTGGAATAGCTTGTGATGCTGCTGAATTTTAGCTGCTTTATTTAACTCTTCCGATCTGGCTTGTGCTTGCTTCAGTGGTTTGGAGTCTGTGCCATGAAACACTGGGCTGTCCTGGTTCTCTGGAGACCCTTGAGGAGCAGTTTGGGTAGATGAAATTCTTGTTGTTAGAGGTTGTTTCTTTTCTTACAGTGGATGGCTCAAATTTCAGAATTTCTCATAAATTAAGAGAAGATGCATGATGAACACATTCATCTTCTAAATATTACCCATATTTTTTGTGATTGGCTTGCTTTTGGGTGAAGTTCTATCAAATACTGCCATATTGACATTGACACGAGAAATTGTTTATCTGCATAGCAAGAAATACTATGGAAAAATTTAAGAGGTAGTTATTAAGCAATAATTTAAAAGATGAGGAGACAGTCTTAAATGCTGTGCACACTTATATGCATAGAATAATTTTTTGTTTAGAAGATAAAAATAATTTTGACTCCTGAGACGGGAATGTGAGTGTGAGATTCCAGAACATTCACTTTAATAGATAAGATTTGTTGGATCCCATTTTGTTGTATACACTGGATTAGCTACCACCATGTGGAAATAAAGGTAAGGGACCTTTACTTTCATTCTCCTTTCTCACATATGAGCAAACATATCCCTTTATGGAAAAATGTTGTATTTAGAACAGAAAAGCATGGACTTCCTGTATTGTTTGCTTATTTGTACTATCAGCAATATACAGGATTTTGTTTTCCCTCTGGAAATATTTACTTTTGGAAGAAGTATTTAGCTCTTGAGCTGTGTGATAGTGACTTTGAGGTTGCTTGTCTGTCAGTACTGACTAGTAGCGAGGCAGTACATAATCTTGATGATTGACTGAAGGGCTAGAGCTGAACTTTGGCAACCTCAATGAAGTTCAAAATTTCATAGCTTAAATTTATTAAGCATTTGATTAATTTTGAAAATATATGTTGCTGTATTCTCTCTCATGTTTGCTTTGGAATGACTCCTGAGCCACAAGTAAAATAATAGCTCAGCAATTCAGTCGTGTCCTGTAAACACTCTTGCATAAAGCACACAGGAATATTCTTGTGCTCAGTGAAACTCCCTACAAAACAAGGTGAAGTGCTTAATCCTGTGTTTTCAGCTTAGTCTTGCTTTCAGTCTTAGAAGGAGTGGTTTTTATCAAGGAGTATGTTACTTGTTGCTTTTTTGCCTACATGGAGGAGTATTTTGTTTCAAGACTGACTTTGCTTGTATGGTTTTCATAATTTATATAATTCCATGGGTAATCCAGCCCCTTCCCTTTGCTTTTAATAACATTTGTATTGGCCCAGCTCTTATGGAAGAATATGCTTTGAGAGTGTTCAAGACTTTGTGAAGATTGATCTGTCTACTCCCCTTTAAGCTGGAAATTCATGGTAGAAATAAGCAGTGTTTTGTGTGTGTGTGATGGGGTGTAGAGGCCTGTAGTACTTGCAGTGATTAGTGTTGTCTTCTAATTGTTAGAGCAACAGTGGAAATGAGTGTTCCCTGTAGGAGGAAATAGCTGTACTAGAAGAAGCTGGTCTTCAGTCAGCTGAAAAATGAGCAAGTGGGTGTTCTCGGGTGAGGTAATACCCACCCAAAAAAGTGGCATTGTCTGTGCTTACCAGAACCTGCCACATTAATTTCCTTCTATCTTAAGGAACTTGTGAAAAGGAAAGAACTCTTGAGGCACCAAAGTTTTTTTTGGAACATTTCCAATGACGTAGGTCCCTGCAGTGGGCTGCTGCTGCATGCTCCGAGGATTTCCTCATCAGTACGTTCAGCACGAGCAGGCAGTTGACAATTGAGATGGAAGGAATCTTCTCACACCCCTGAACCCATTCAAATCTCCATGCTGAGCTCCTCACTGATTTTTAAAAATTCATTAGAACTTCACTATTTCTCACATTCTCACCTCCTGGATTCTGGCTGATAACAGAAATGCATTGCTGCACACATTAAGGGTCGATGTCGTGGGTGGGGGGTTGGACAAGTGACATTCTGGATTCCTTGAAATCTTGCAAGATTTGCAACCTAATTTTTCTTTTAACTCATGGGTAGAGAGCTGAAAGCTTGTTAAGGGATTTGTTCATACCATTCCTGCTAGTTTTAAAGG